ATATTCCGTCCATTATATCGGAAGATGCTTGTCTGAAATCTTGAGTCGACGCACAAATGAGCTTCCTATCATTCTCAAAAGCGCCAATCCGTAGCCTTCTAGAGCTGGCTCGCTTAATTGGGTCTACCAGAGACTCAATACCTCTGATAGCCTTCGTAATCGTAGAAATTTGGTACAGCAAACAGCCTTGAATGTTGAGCATGGGTCAATTCCTACTCACTGCCTGTGGCAATGGCGGAGAGAGGCTCCACGGTTAGAAGGCGGAAGCCAGAGTCTCGCCTCTCCGCTTAGAGCGACCAGCTAACAGAACAAAAGAATCACCGGCATTTCTAGACTCGAAAAACACAATGAAATCTACCCAAAGAACATGCCCCTTTCGCAAGTTTTTTGAAAAAAAATCCACCTACTTGGCCGGAAGTGAGCTACCACGAATTCTGCATCGCAGGAGAGCCGGTAATCTTTGATAAGTGTGCTATCAAGAAATCAGGTAAAAAGAATGAGTTTGAGGTGAGTTATGGCAGAAAAGGTTTAAGGTGATTTCTTTTTGAACGGTACTGTAGGTCAGTAAGTATTTCATTCGAATTAAGCCAGTATGCCTAGCATCCGCGTTGGAATGAATGAAGCGGCTATTTTAGAATGTACTGGATCGGAAAAGAACATTACAATCAGAGCGTTGTTCTTTTTATCTGGGTACAATTTGTTGGCCAGGCCCTACTGGGCTCTTCTGGGTAGTCTGAGGGCTAGTCCTTAGTGATGTGGTTTACCGGTCAGCAAAAGGGATGCTAATGTTATTTTTGAACTATATAATCACCCCATCCATTCCATCCACTCAGGTGACTGTCAATGTGTGTACATTCGGAAAATTTATCTATATTTGTTGCCCTTTATTTTGATCAAACTTGCAATGCTTGGGAAGAAGCGATTATCTCAGTTTTTAATGGCGCATTTTGAGATAGTATAAACCAGCCCATTGTTGGATTAGAAAGAGGCAGGCTTTTGGTACCTTCTTTTCTTTTCGCGGGCGTTAGCGATGCAAAAGTCGTACCAATGAATCTTTTCCGTGGAAACGCATTGCCGCGATAGGAACACATTCCTTTCCCACTGAGGAGGTGAGGATATCTGACCAGTTATACGCCTATGGCAGTGTAAAAACCGCCCACAAAACTCCTTTGAATCGCACGTCATAGGCCAATGGTTCGATGAATTCTTGTGGCGATTCTCGTTCTTGTCAAGGACGCATTTGCCTGAGTGCACAAGGACGGCGTTGGGGAAAAAAGTGGCGACCGAGGAGAAAATGATTTCCTTTGTATTGCAGTCGATACACATATCGATGTTGAATGATACTACAGCGAACATCGAACCTCGTTCTCGCGATACTTTGGAGAACAGATTACGGCATGNTGCACAAGGACGGCGTTGGGGAAAAAAGTGGCGACCGAGGAAAAAATGATTTCCCTTTGTATTGCAGTCGATACATATATCGATGTTGAATGATACTACAGCGAACATCGAACCTCGTTCTCGCGATACTTTGGAGAACAGATTACGGCATGCATGGGTTCAATAGATGGCGACGATAGTTTTCGGGTCGGTTTTTCTGCGCACCTGTATAAAACTTTAGAGTTTGTGATGCTTGCTTTCTCAACTTTGGATGAAAAAACAGATTACACCAATCTCGTGATAAAATGCGATCCCAATCAATTTGTTTGATTGCATTTTTTGCTTTGATTGCATGGTAATGACCTAGGATGTGATGACGGAATTTGGTGATTGATGCAGGTGTGAATCCTCCACACTCCAAGATTTAATTGTTCAAAGCTGGTGCCAACGGAGTTTTCCTGGTTTTACCAATCGTAGTATGGGCGACCATGAAATCCCAATCCCGATCCCATCGGTTACTTGTTGCACCATGATACAGAGGATAAGGTTCGCTGAGAAACCCTGCGAACGATTAAGCCGTCGTTTTGGTAAGCGATCGTCTGTATTAAATATAGGTGAATTGTATATTGCCCATCGTCTCTGCTGGTATTGATCGATTCTTCATCGATTTACAAGTCCTGTCTTTATCGATCCGTTTGTTACAGCTAGCCTTGTCTGGCAACACTGATTTCTTACACAATGTGTGATAATGGGATTTAAAAAAACTATCTTATATGATGCTGAGTAGATCGTATTACCTGGGCCTACTCCTCCCTCCGTCCCGACTCGTTGCGGTAGACGGGGCAGTCCTCCTCCCTGTCCCCATCCCGACGTCGCCCCAAGCGGAGGCAGTGCTGGCGGCTGTGGAGGTGGCACAGGTAGTGGCGATGGAACTAAATTACATTTTGTTCGTAAGCTGGGCTACTGACAATGTGCCAAAAGAGATAGCCCTTGCCCTTTTTAAACCATACCTAACGAAGCGAAGAAGTTTCTGATATTATCAAGGAAGCTGCCAAGTTGACCACCAGGATGCACTGGATTAGGGTTATTTCCGAACTGAAACTCGAAATCGAAACATAGAGGATATCAATAGTGAAGCTTGATCACCTGCAATAGGCTGCCCAAATCGAGACCATTCCTTCCAGCACTCAGACCGGAGTCGACACCAACTCGCTCGTTGGCTACTATTGCATTATCCGTTCCTGTGGGTGATCTTAGCACATGAACTGATTTCCGAAGAGAACGGAAATGGCATACCACTCAATCCGATCCCTCCATCGTTGCCAGCTATGCCGAGTGCACGATGTCCTCCAAAGCCAAATATATTCGCACCTTGACTCATACCCATATTCCATCCGCCATTCTGCCTTGGATGTAGAGAAAACTGACCCAGATTCACCTGGGCCGTCACCTCTGGAAAATAGAGACTGAATATAATGTTGGGTTGTTACATGAATATCAAAAAATATAATGGTATAGACCCTACGAGATTCGATGATTTCAGTTCATTGAGTATAGTATTCGAAAGGAATATGACTGCATTTCAAATTGATGCACTTTGCCCCATGAATGGTAACAAAATTCAAATTAAATTCAGATTTGCAAAGTGGAATGAGAAAGCTACGAAAATCATCGAAACTGGCATCGATTTCGATTGTTAGTAGATTTCCATTGTAGAAATTCAGTCAATGATCTTCTTCTAACATTGTCACAACCTCTTCTGAACATATCAGTATTAGGTTGTCTAACCAACCATCTATTCTTCCCTTTCAGACAGGAAACCATCTATTTTTCCCTTTCAAAACAGGTTTTCCGTAGAAGCTTGAAGCTATGACCACTTTGCTGAATCAGACTTCCCTTGCATTGGTTTCACTTTTAATCCGGATGTGGTTGGGGTAGAACTTCAGACCCACGTAATAGGATGCTCAGTCGACAAGAATAAAGACATAGCTACACAATTGATCTTTCACCGAATAACGCTTAAAATCAATCAGCGATGTGATCCACGCCTTTGTTCATGAGTTCTTCTGAACCCTTCAGAAGTATTTTGATGCATCTACGCTAGAGAACTTGTTCTCTGTCCTATTGTGGTGCAGGTTCAAGTTCTGTTCAAATCTGATGGAAAAACCTGTTTTTAAAAGAAAGGGACAAGGTTTGTTGAGCAACGTAATACTGAAATGCAGACAAGAGGTCATGACAAAGTCAGGAGTACATCAGGTTACTGATTTATTGCTGTGTTTGTGTTTACTAATGTGTTGTGCCGGGGCCAACACAGTTCAAGGAAATAACAAACCCGATGAATCACCTTGACTAGGTGAACAAAAACATACAACACCAGCACATGATACGCAGTCATACAAAATGAAACCGTAATGCATCAAATAGTACCACTTCATAAGACCAGATGTAAAAAATAAAAATAATACGAATACAAATATGTTATATTATTATTTTTATATGATACAAATAATATAAAAATGTCTTGAATAGATAAAACTACTGGCATGTTAAGATAGACTTTGGTCAGGGAAGCAGGAATGCACATTTTTTGTTAACTTCTTCTGAAGACTAGCACGCTTTAAACATGAAGTTTATAAGTCCCATATGTATTTGTTCTTAGCTCAGAGAGGAATGTTCTACTTTGACCACCTTTCGTTCGAGAACGAGCCAAGTTGTAAGGATGGAAGAAACCCAACTTATTGCTCTGATACAGAACTATTGGAATTAGAATTGAGGTTATTGCCATTTTCTTTTTTTTTTTGAGTCGATTTCAAGCTTCACAAAGCGGGAATTGGATTTGAACTGTTTTAAATCAAGATGGAGAATACACCATGCCCTCCAGATATGTAGTATATGACATTACTTAAAATTATACAACCTTACGTTGCTAGGTATTTTGCACACTGCAGTGATGAAGTGATCAAGCTTCTCAAAGATAGCGTTACATGATGTCTTGGGAGATAGTGAGGAAATTGGACCATCGATTTACACCACCACAAGGAAAGGGCTAATTGAAATAAAATAAAATTTGAAAACAAATTTGCGCAACAGTAAACTTGTTAAGGAGAGGATTCAAAATATGAAAGTCAGCTCAGAACCAACTGCCTTCAATGGGTCACAGTAGTTCAGATGTTCGTTTTCTCTTATAAGTAGTATAAGAAGTACAGTTCGCTGAACTTTTCATAAAATAATCCAAACTGGTTATGCAGGAGCAGCTAGGAACATAGACGATAAACAAGTTCAGAAATTCCTTTCGGAACTACAGCTCACATTGGTCTGATAGTTACATTTGGTTGGTTAGTTCATTCGATCTAATGGTTGTCGTCGTGCCTTTCTGACGGAACAGTTTCAAACCTGAAGGCTTGGTGAAGGAAGCTGCACCCTATGGTGCGAGAACTCATAGCAGGGGAGCCAAGATTGGGTGCCTTTCGATGCACCTGACGCAGCGGTTGGATTGCAACGAATATAAAGTCTCTCTGGTTATTTCGGAGTGGGTTGGTGACCCTCAATGGCCAGTAGTCTAGCAAACCGAGTTATGGACATAATAAAGGCCAAAAGCTATCATCAGTACGAAATACAACAGCAGCGATTGCTGGCAGCGAAGATATCCTTCGGAAGGTAAGGGGAAGAAGAGCATAATAGGAGATAGAATGCGGATGTAAAATTTTGTAGCCAAAGTAAGCGCTCAGCTGAGTTTATTCTATGGAAAGTATTTTACACATCAGGAATTTGAACAGATAAAAGCTACTTCATACAAGCTACTAAAGAGAAGTGCAAACCGATCTCCCTGGCTTTTGGATCTCTTTGAGCTCTAAGAATATTTACCATTTGTCTCCACGTCATGCCAATAAAGGAATGGTAAGGAAATTGAAGGTGAATTCAGCGTGTCATCGTCGCAAAGTATCTCAAAAAAAAAGAACACCAGATAAAATTCAACAGCATGCAATATGGTTATGCTGAGGAGAAGGGTACTGTTATTTAAAGCCATGCTTTATGCTTGCTATATGCTTTATGCCAACTTAAGACTCCCGTAACATCTCCGCGTTCTTCTGACTACGGCCTTCACCGGAGTTTTTTCTTTTGATAAGTCAAAACCAAAAAACTATTTCAATGTGATTCGTGTTATTCTCATACGTATAGAAGAGAATTACTCGACTCTCTCCCACTTCCGCTCGTACTAGTGAATAAATAAGAAACTCCTGACAAATTTCTTCAGTCTTTCGCGTTTCACTTTCGATCTAAAGCAGAAAAGATGGGATGACTATACGCGACTTCTTCAGAAATTCTTTACTTTCCTACCGGACGACAGATTGAGATGAAAGTACCGTGTTGTACTACAAATTTGCATACTGAACTGATGCTTGAGTTCTATTCAGTATCAGCAATATTACTCATTCAAGGAACTCCTGCGTATCGAAAGAGGCGAAAGAAGACAATGCCAAGATCTCATTGAAAGTATCGTAATGCTTTAATGTGTAGGATGAAGTATTCTATGAAAACTGTCGAATTGTAAAAGGAATTATGGTCCCCGTTGAAAAGAATAATCGAGTGCGTTGTTCAAAATTGTTTGCGGTAGAATGTTTGAGGCCAGCAGGAACTCAATGCCGATGACGTTTTCAATCATGAACGTGTTTACTACTATTTGTAACACACTCTTCTGACTGTGAGTTTGGACTGTTCACTGTAAGCCAAATTGAATAAGGTACCCTGAGATTATTAATCAAAGCAAGCAGGGGAAGATAAAGCAGAGCAGTAGACTTCAGAAATGAAAGGAACAGGTTAAGCGAGAACTGGCTGATTAATTACATCAGAAACTGGTTCGCTCAAAAACGGAAAGCATAAACTAACTAGAACACTCACCTGAGAGAATAAAGGTGAAGAATACGATAGTACGCATGGCGGTATGGTAAAACCTATAAGGCGGTTCTCTCGGCGCTAGCCTTCAGAGGTGGCAGAATCCTGTTGGAGGGTGTAACGCGGTGCATCGTGCCATTGTTGTTGTTCCCCGAATGCAGCAACATTTTCATAGCAGCTTCCCCACCCCTTCTTTCTCTTTTTTCATCATCCCCGAACAAACGGTGATGAACAATTTGTTCCTTCTCTCATCTTTGTTTTCAACCTTACTCTTACCGCGGTATAGGACGAAAAGGGGAAGCTGCCACAAGAGTAAAAACTTGTTGAAACAAAGCAAAACAGTCAAATTCAAGAAGATTCCTTCCTGGGGAAATGGAAGCCAACATTCTGAGCAACGAGTGTGATAATATGGACCAGCGGCGTTAAATTATTGCCTGTGGTTGGCGCACTGAAATAAATTCCATGATAAATGTGGATACAAAATGTTTTTTTGATTAAGAATCGAACGCACTTCAAAGCAAAGTCTAATTAGGTCAAATCACGACACAACGCAGGAATCGTGACGCCGATTTACTTTTTATGTTGACCATACTTTGTAAAATAGTAATCAAAAGTAATCAGTAAACGAGTGAAATAAACATTTTTAGAGGTACAGCCGACTCCATTCATGTTTGCTCTTTGTATATGAACAAACCCTTTCCGGGCATTTTTGGTGGATTATATTATTTGAATAGGATTCTTGTCTGAAAATTGGGGTACTGCAAATGGGGACAGATTTGAGCGCAGATAGAACTATTCGATGTTGTACTTCACCCTGAAGTGTTTGGCATGTTAGGTGTGTTTCGGCAGCGACGAAGTAGCGAGAAGTTCTCGGCGAATGGTGGACAGCATGATTCAAGAACTACTTGTTCTGCCTGATCTTCGATGTTCTGCTTGTAATTACCCGCAGTATCTCTCTGATCATCAGTTTGCTGGAAACGCCAGTGAAGTCTCCACTCGTAGATGTTCTTTCTCGCAGTGTGCCTTGCTCCAGTAATACGAATATAAGCATACCATTTTTGAAGAGCTACATGAGGAAGTCTGATTATTGCCGACAGCCCTCCGAATTTTCGTTCATGATCCGAAAGATCCAGATCGTCACCAGAGAATCGTATGAGCAGCCCAGCTTGACCGCTCTTCAATTCCTAGGAGTCTACAGAAGCGTCTCTGTTCTCCGCTCGTCAACAGAGCTCAGAACTTAGACTACTCTGCATTTGCTTATAGCCACTTCAGAGCGTTGTCCTGCCCATAGTACTCTAGAACCGACTGTATGTTCACACAGCAGGCGTGGAGTCCAGGTATCTGTGACAGGGAGGGAGGATCGTAGAATCGCGATGACAGGCTTGAAACTTGATATTTTTCTTTTTGTCTCTTCTCCCTCAATATACTTTATACTTCTTATTTCGCTCGCTTCCTTCTGTTCCGCCCTAGGGCTGAGTCGTTCATCAACTTGATTTCGGATCCAGGTTTCAAGGCTGGGGCACTCAGAAATATTCGTCTTTTTGAGAGTAAAAGGGACATCAGGAACCGGTTCTCTTCTTAAGT